TCGGGCAGGTGGAGCTTGCGGGAGGCTGTTCCCAAAATCCTGCAACAGTACTGCTCCCACGGTGATGTTACTCGCGTCAGTGACGATCGAACGGACGGTGCGGATTTGCGATGTGAAGCACGGGCGGTGAGCATAAAATTTTCTTGAGGGCCGAGAAGGCGGCTTGCTCTTTCTCCCCCCATGTATACTCAACCCCCTTCCTCAGCAGGTCAGTCAATGGAGCAGTCAGCTTCGCCATGTCAGGGAAGAACCAGCGCACGTAGTTGACGAACCCAAAAAAACTCTGCAGCTCTGTCAGATTTGTTGGCACGTGCCATGCTTGAATCGTCGCGATCTTTGTCGGGTCTATTTCCACTCCGTCGGCTTGCACGGTCAGTAGAAACTCACACTTAGAGGCTTTGGTCAGTAGGCAGTTCTCACGGCTTTGGTCAGTAGGCAGTTCTCACTCAGTATTTTGGAAACTACTTCAATGTCCCGAAGGTGCTGTGCTCTGTCGGGGCTGTAAATTAGTATGTCGTCGAAGTATACGATGACGCACTTACCTAAAAGCGGGCGGAAGGCTTCGTTCATGGTCATCTGAAAAGTGGCGAGGGCATTGGTCAGTCCGAAGGGCATGACGGTGTATTCGAAGGAATCGTAGCGTGTTTGGAAGGCTGTCTTTGGGCAGTCGCGTGGGTTGACGCGAATCTGGTGGTAACCCTATCTAAGGTCAAATTTCGAGAAGACCCGGGCTGTACGCAGTTGGTCAATCAGTTCGTCTGTTCAATGCGCGGTAATTTATGTGCATGCGAAACCCCCCTTTTTTTCGGTGTGAATTTTATCGTTGCAGGTAATCCAGCTGTTTCCTCAATTCGTTCAGTTTGGGTTGGGTCAGTCGAAATTGCCGCTGTACTGTGTCTGTGCCCCCAGTCTAACTCTATCCTGTGGTGTAAGGTGGCACCCCGTCGGCAGGTCATCTGGAAATATCCCACTGTACATCTCCAGAAGTGTTGCCAAGTCATCCAGTATGTCGGCGAGCAGTTTCTGTAAATCACTGCCCTTGTCTGCTGCTTCGGCTTCCCGAATGTCGACCGCTTACACGCCAGCACCTGCCACTACGGCGCGTTTCATCGTGGTCTCATTGACACGTACCGACAAAGACTCAGGCGAGCCCCAGCGAGGTAAGGCGATGTTGTTACCGTTCACGTGCACGGTGAAGTCAAGCATCGTCCAGTAAATCAATCGCAATTAATCACGGCCGAGTAAATTGTCGATTCTGTCGAGGGTTGTCGCAAGCATTTCCTGACTAAACGTGAAATTACCCCTCGCATTGAATCCGAACTAGGTCTACAAGTTCCCGTATCGCCAGTGGCGTGCCGTCAACCAGCCTTGCGTCGATCTCAGGTAAACACCTGTCCGGTGGCAGTTTCAGCTTTCGTGCTGTGGCAGTGTTGATGAGGCTATGACTGGCTCCCCCGTCTACGAGTATTTTAACTAAGTCCGCTAGTCCCAATTTTCCCACTAAGCAGTATGGTCTGTCTACCGCGGTACCCTCCTTATTCGGCCGGGTGTGTTCGATTGCATGAACCGGCACAATCACTCGGTGAGGGTCGGTTGGGTCGGGCGAGCGTCGTGACCTACCAGTAGAGGCTTGTCTGCTACTGACTCCCAGCGTTTCCCTGCTGCTTGGTCTGTTTTTGCTGCTCAACTTCCCCTTTGTCCTTAGCGTTTTCCGGGCATTCGCTCTTGCGGTGTCCCGACCGATTGTACGCGAAGCAGCGCCCTTTGAATGGTGCAGCAGCAACATTCGCAGCGACGGAAAAAATACGAGATTCTCCGCCATAGCTAGAATTTTTTTGAAATCGGTGACACAGCAAAGCTAGATTTTTTCAGCAATGTCGTGCTTCAGGCCGTCAATGTAGTTATCGATGCGCTCACTTTCGTGCATATAGCCCACCTGCTCACATAGCACCAGAAACTCGTGTCAGAATGTGATGGTTGTCTAGCCTGCAGTGGGGTACTCTATAGCGAGTACAGCCCTTCTAGGGTTTGCATATATGTATCCCTATGCTTGTTAGTCAAAACCCCTTCTTGCCTGTTTCTCGTTTTGGCCTAGCATTTTGACATGCTATCAGAGCGGGTCGACCCTCCTGGGTCGATCCTGTGGGTGGTCCCACCAGAAGCTTCCGCTGTTGTTTCCTGCTGTTTCCTGCCTGCCGCGCGCTCCGGGCGCGCAGCGATTTTTTCTTCCCGCCGCGCGCCCGGGGCGCGCGGCGGTTTTCTGCCCCGTCACTCGGCGCGTCGCCCCCGGGAGGCGCTGCGACGGGCGACGGGGACCCGCGCGTCGCCCCCCGTCGCCCGTCGTGGCCTGCGCGCGGCCCGTACAGCCGGCGCGCGGCCCGTACGGGCTGCGCCAGGCCCGCGCGCGGCCCGTACGGGAAGCGCCAGGCCCGCGCGCGGCTCGGGCCGCCTGCGCGCGGTTCGGGCGGCTATGCCAGGCCCGTGGGCGGCCCGTTCCTCGCTGCCCCTGCCCTCCCCACTGTCCCCCGTGCTTCTACTGGCGCCCCACCCCTCCTACAGCCCGTTCTCCTGAATTAGGGTTTGGGGGTGAGGGGTATGGGGGTGAAGCCACTGAGTGCCGTTCCCCTCCTCCTCCTCCTTCTCCGTCTCCCACTGCTGCAGCTGCCGCTGAGGGGGGTGGGTGTGTGGGAGCCGAGGGAGTGGCGCTAGGGGGTGTAGTGTGAGCGGTGCTAGGGGAACAGCAGGGGGTGTGTAAAAAGGGGGTGGGACAGCTGGGGGAAGTTGAGAGGAGGCCGTCGACTTGTCGTCCGCAGCGCCTGAAGTCCAGGGAGCCACGACCCCCTGTGGCCTGAGTAGTCCGGGGCTCTGCGCCCGGTAGCTACAGTGTGTGCACTCCTGGGAGCACAGCGAGCCAGCTGCGACCCCCTGTCGCCGTGTAGTCCGGGTTTAGCCTGGTAGCGTCAGTGCGGCGTACTCCTGCTGCCTGTGTGTCTGCAGCTTCAGCCGTCGCCTCTCATCTTCTTGCTCCCACAGTTTTCTCCTCCTCCTCACTTGCCCTCTGTGATAGCCTCTAGCTTTGGTGAACTATTGCTCTGTCTGCTTGTTATGTTGATTGTACCCCACTTTGACTATGGGGGTGTGTCAGAATGTGATGGTTGTCTAGCCTGCAGTGGGGTACTCTATAGCGAGTACAGCCCTTCTAGGGTTTGCATATATGTATCCCTATGCTTGTTAGTCAAAACCCCTTCTTGCCTGTTTCTCGTTTTGGCCTAGCATTTTGACAACTCGCTGGTGTAGTCTTGGACGGAACCGAGTTGGCGCCAAGTGCGGAGCTTCTGACGCGCCGCGATCGAAGCCGCAATCAGCTCAAATCAAACGGACGGTCCTGCGCACTATGCGTCCCACGTGCGATATTGGAACACCTCCACGAAATACGACGACGCCCAGGGCCCGGTTTGTCCTTTCCGTGTCGGTAGAGTCACGTAGTCCGGCGGCTTCGTGACGATGACGCGCCACCAATCCATGGCGGGATCTCGCAGCAGCGACACGGCATAGCGAATCTTCGCCGTATCCTCCAAGACGTAGTTGGCGTCAAAGAAGACGTTCATCGTGAACAACCACGCCTGAACGGTAGGACCACCCCGTTGACTCGGGTCAAAGCATGATGGACGTTGCGGCTTTAGTGGCATCGGCAACTTTAGCGTGGATTCGCCAGCTGTTACCGAAATCTTGACTCGAGGCTGGCTTCTGGCCGCATTCGTCGCTTCGGGGTGTGTCATGTCGTGGTCGTCGTCTCCGTCGTTGCGGACGACGCCGTCACTAGCCATGCTCGCGTGCTGCCCCACACTTCCGTGCTGCGATGTCTATGGTGCGAGTTGTCCCGGAGTGCCATGTGCTCGTGATTTGTGCTTGTTGTGCTCTTGCGATGTCGTTTTGCAGGGACGCGTATTCCGCCGTCAGCGCCACGATTTCTTCGAAATTTTCGCGAAGTTGCTGCAACAGTTCGTTCAGAGGCTCCTGCGTGAGTGTCTGACGTCGATGCGTTCAGCCATGGCGAAGGGCGTCGGCTCGGCTTAGTCTAGGCGCAGTCGTGGCTGCACGCGTTTACGAGAGAACGCGAGGACAGCGGCTCCTAGGGGCTAAGGTGCGTGAGTCCCTTTGAGTGAAAAAACAAAAGTTGATCTCTTGGTGCGGAGATGTGCGGTCCGAAAGAAGCTCTGATACCAAGTGTTACGGGTGCAATGGATCGAGGTAGCGAGGATTGCACTATAGTGTCAAGCGAGTACAAAGTATGAGCGAAGACATGAGTGAATATTTATGTGCGAAAACATGCAACGGTTACGCGGTGCGTGCGAGCTAGCTAGTTAGGCTGGCATCGAGGTTCAGGCGAGTCCCGAAGCGTAGGCCGACTCGGCCGGGCCAGCGGTGCAAGGTTTGGTAAAACCGTGCGCGCGAAATTGGCGAAGCCCTGCTATCAGTAACGGGAAATCAACTGCTGCTGCTGTACGCGATGTTGACGGTCACGGTAAGGAATAGCGAGAAAATTCCTTACAGTAGTTAATTAAAGAGATGTATAACAACAATGTGTTGGTGATGTATTCCGTAACAGCATTAGCTGGACTTTGCCAGGGCTACTGTTACGGGTTGCTGATTTGGCAAAGACATCTTCGAGAGACACGTGTTACAGACATCAGAGGGGACGCCACGCGGCCCCTGTCTCGCCACACCCTAGTGAACAAGTGCTTCTGAAGGCGTATTTGTTGAGTGCAAAACTCCGGGTTTGGTGCGCTCAACTTTTAGAGTATGCCGATGCTTTCACCCGAACATGCGTGTCCATCCCTGCCTGAAATTACAAGTTCTCGGATTTAGACTGCTGGTATTTCAGATGGTTTGAACCGCAAACAGCACCTCAAGGAGCGATTCCATCCCCCTACGCATATCGTTCCTGAACAAATAGGCCACACCAGATTGTCGCTTTGGCTAGAAAATTCTGACGAGTCATGGCTGCAGTCTCTGCATTCCGCGTCGCCGCGTCCTTGCGGCCACCATCGACAGCTGCCGCGCCGTCTACTTTATCGTCCGCCAAGTCCGCATCGTTCGGCTGCGCGTCGTCGCTCTGCCCATGCACTCCCGTATCAGCTTCCCGCGCCGCCAAGGGAAGGCAGGCCGTCGTGACTCCGCGTGCTGACCTGGACAGCGACACGGTGAGCTTCACTGCTCCGTGCATCTACATGAATGTCGGAATGTGCACTGGTATCACGAATATTGAAGCTCCGGGCAAAGCCTATGATTTGAGTGGCCAGTGTAAGCCTGCGGGTTCACTCGTCTCGCTCGGCCATCGAGCCGTCGAGCTAGCTTGCATTTGCAAGCGCGAACTGATTTCACCCGTTTACGCATGAAATCATTTCGTGAACAGTATGTCAAACAAAATGTTAAATTGACAAAGAAATGCATTGCTGGAAGGGTGAATTGATCAAATTGTCCGTGTTGGTTGGGTTGGCAGCTCGTGGGGATCGGCGTGGGGCTGGCGGGTATCGCGGTGGGCATCGGCATTCCCGTTTTCTACGAAATTGCCGTCAAGGGATCGGTGAGTCCTCATGGCGTCGGTGAGCCGTCAAGGCGACGGTGAGCCGTCAAGGCGACGGTGAGTTGTCAAGGCGACGGTGAGCCGTCACGGCGTCGGTGCGCCGTCAAAGCGTCAGTGAGCCGTCAAGGCGTCGGTCAGCTGTCTAGTCGTGGGTGAGACGTTGAGGGGACCGTGCATTGCCGGGGCGTTCGTATTCCAGCTTCGCTTCGCAGTAATAGCTGGCGCCACGTTCTTCCTCTCGTCCCGATTCTCAATATCGTTGGTCGTCGGAGAACACATTCGCGCATCATCTCTGCCGCGCATCATCTCTGCCGCGCATCATCTCTGCCGCGCTGTGGTCCTTCCTTGCATGCCAAGCATGTGCGTTCACTTGCGCCCTCATGTGCTCACGTGCCCGCATTGCTCCTCGTGATATTTGCCGGTTTCCCCATGTGCAGGAGAAGCGGGAGAACGACCAACCATGCTTCCCTTGCAAAGGCACCGGCGCTCGTAAGTCCCGCTCCCCTTTCCCCTCCCCGCGACAGGCCACTAGAGTGACAATGGGAACGAGCAGTAGCATGATTATGCGCTCAGCTTACAGGAGAAAATAAACCAAGCGACGCCATTGCCACCATGATTGACAGATAGTTCAAATTTCGTCAGACTTTCAGAATTCATTGGTCAAGGCAATGCCGTAGTGGTGCTTTCGGGTGTTTGCGTGGCCTGATACGCATGCGCCCGCCCTCCCTTCCTGCCACTATTCCCCAACATCCAACCATGCGCGTGTCCTGCAATGCATGCCTGTGACAGGGCCACTCCTCCCTCCCTCACGCCCATATCTTGATGCGCCTGCTGTAGCTAATCTCGCTCTCTTTCCCATTCTCCCTATTTCCCAAACTCCCATTCTCCCTTCCCATCCATTCCCTCCCTCTCCACAACACAACATCCACGCATGGCTGGCAGAGTCGTGCCGGTTCTGTCAGGGCACGGGGGTGGTGGTGGTGGAGCTGGGCGGCGGTGAGAGGGAGGAGTCGGAGTGCATCAACTGCCAGGGCAAGGGCGCCATCACCTGCACCACCTGCCAGGGCACCGGCGTGCAGCCCAGATACCTCGACCGCAGGTGAGGGTTGAAGAGGGGATAATGGGACGTACGTAGTGACTGTAGGTGAGAGGAAGGGATGATGGAGAATCAGGACTGGGGGTGAGGGAGGGATATTTGGCCTGGGTTCACAGCATAATTACAGTCTACAGGCCATGTGAAATCCAAGAACATGTAGCCATTTGCTCATCATGGCATTCTAGGTCAAACTCATGTTTTACGCCTTTTTTCTCCGTTTATTGCAGGGAGTTCAAGGATGATGACTAAGCTCAAGCTTATGTTGTTGTGGAGTCCCAAACGAATTTTGGATTATCAAAATCAATGTATGCCCCTGCCTGGATTATGAAAGGCCTCGATATTATATGAGATAATTATTCTGAGTGCACCTGACTTGCATCAAACGTTTTAGTGGGGCTTTGTAGCAAGGTGTACAGTTTCTCCACCAGCTCCCCCATCAACATCGCGATCCGCGAAGTTCGCAATTGCGACCACATAACCATCTTGTTCGCTGACGTCCCAGTGAAGTGACATCAGGCGAAGAGACACATATTGGAGATATCACCTTGGAAACTCCATTCAGCAACAGAGAAGCATAGATTCCCAAGCTTAGTGAGCATGAATTCCGGTTCATCCTCCAAAGCAGCTGTCTTGGCGATTCGACCAGGGTGAATTAAATAGCCGTTAGTTAGAAACCTACCAGAATCGTCTGACCGACACATAATGTAAACCAAATTCCAATGGCTTGCGTCGACGGGCTTCTTGATTTCTCCTGTAGGCAAATCATCGCCAAGTATTCCAGCGTTAGTAAATCGGCTCTCATCACAACAGTAGCTTCTTTCCCTTGCTCTTAGCAAGTTATCACAAATTTCACGCTTGTAAGAACGACAGTACTAAAATTCTTGGTGCTATTGTTTCAACAGAAAAAGGCGTTCTCATACTATTGACGTCCCAAGCATAGGAACCTGTTCGAGACAAGTATCCTTACCTTGTCATCATGGCGGTTATGCCTGAAGATGAAGCGTCCGTCCTGTTCGGACCCCTAAGTCCAGGAGCAAGCAGAGATGAGGAAACAGAATCAGGGTTGTTTTCAAGCCTGCCGTCCAGAATGGTAGCTCTGGCTTGCACGTGCGTGGCTATACTGATTGCTTTCCGCCATATGATGATGCACCTGCGCTACTACACAGAGCCTACTCACCAAAGATACATAATACGAATAATCTTCATGGTCCCTGTAAGACCTATGTTCGTCCCTCTTTCAGGAGGTTGAATCTTGAGGGTTTTCAATGATTAGGCAAAGAGCTGAAACGGTTTGCGTACAGGTGTATGCTGCCATGTCGTACGGTGCTCTGGTGGCCAGTGACTACGCCATGTACTTCAAGACTGTCCCTGACGTGTAAGAAACGGATCTGAAGCTCCTACTAATGATCACAAGCTGTCATGTGTTCAAACAATCGTTTTTCTTTCTACTTGGCTCTAAAATCCATAGCCACCAAATATTTATTCTGAATTGTCCTGTACAGGTATGAAGCGTGGGTCATTTACAACTTCCTCTCGCTCTGCCTGGCGTGGGTGGGAGGCCCAGGTGCAGTGGCCATCAGCCTCACAGGGCGCGTTCTCAAGCCCTCCACGCTGCTCCTCACGTGCTGGCTCCCACCCATACCGCTGGATGGGTGAGCATGATATTTAGAAACATAGAAGCCAGGGACGGGACATAGTAGCAGAGCAATTTGAAGCTCCTGAGTACCGTTTCATGAGCAATTTCTCCAGCTGTGGCTCACAGTCCTGTATGCTCGCATCCCATCAACAGGACAGGGTGCATTCATTGGTTGATTAAGCTTTCAGAACAACATAAAGCCAGCAGCAGCCCTTGGTCCTGCTCATTTCTCCCACTCACTCCATGTACCACCTCCTCCCTCCTCTCCCCTTCCCCGCCTCTACCCCTCCTCCTCCCCCTCCCGTTTCCCCCTTCCCTTCGTCCTGCATGCACCAGGCATTTCATCCGCCACTGCAAGCGAGGCTGCCTGCAGTTCGTCTTCATCAAGCCGCTCCTCGCCGCGCTCTGCCTCGCCCTCTACAGCACTGGCCTCTACGAGGAGGGTGTGTTCGCTCTCACCAACGGCTACCCCTACGTGACATGTGTGTACATGGTGTCGTACTCCCTCGCGGTGTACGCGCTGCTCTTCTTCTACTTTGGCTGCCACGACCTGCTGCGCTCCTTCAACCCCATCCCCAAGTTCATCATGATCAAGCTCGTCGTCGTCCTCACCTACTGGCAGGTAACCACAACAGCACCAACCTCTGTGACACTGGCAGGTGAAGTGAATCTATCTAGCTGATTGGCAGGGAAAGACTTGACCAGTCCGGGACTTCATTCATGCCTCACCTCACCCGTCACACCATCGTGTTCACTTCTCCTGAAGCTCTCTCCTGTGCTTATTCTCTCTGTGCTCCTCATGCCTCTTCTCTCCTCCCACACTCCCCTCCCCCCATCCCCACTGCACCTCTTACCTCTCCACTCCCCCCTTTCCCCCAGGCCATAGTGCTGTATGAAGCGGGCCATCTGGGTTTGGTGCGCTCTTCCAGCGATGCAGCAGACCTGCAGAGCCTGTTACTGTGCTGTGAGATGGCGCTTTCTTTCTCCTCTCATCCCCCACCACACCCCTTCCTCCCCCACCAGAGCGTTGTGGTGTTTGTAGCGGGCCACCTGGGTCTGGTTCGCTCCGAAGACGACGCGGCAGACCTGCAGTCGCTGCTGCTGTGCTGTGAGATGGCCCTCGCTGCCGTGGGCTTTGCATGGGCCTTCCCCGTCACACCCTTCGCAGCCGCCAGCGTGGGGGGCGGTGGCGGGGGGATAGTGGAGGAGGCGGGGGGGTTCTTTCAGAGGCTCAGGCATGCAGCAGCTGTGGGGGATGTGGTGGACGACACTGTTCACCAGGTGAGAGTTGAGTCGACTCAAATGTCACCGTGGTGATGGAGGAGGTGGGCAGGATCATTCCGGGTTAATTCAGGCTCAGGCATGCGACAGCTGTGAGGGATGTGGCGGTGGACGACACTGTTCACCAGGTGAGGCTCGTTGCTTGTCCCCACCACCGGCGTGCACCACCCCCTTTTCTCTGCATCGTACCATATTCTAACCGCAACTCCCCTCATCCACACCCGCCGGTTCTCCCTGATGTGCCACGACTATGGTATGTGACCGATAGTGATGGAACACCACATCGTATCTGGCATCTTCTGTTTCCCCCCCACCCCTCCTCCCCCCTCCTCCTCCTCCAGTTCTCCCCGACGTACCATGACTATGTGCTCTACAGCGATGGCTCCACCCAGGCCAAGCACTTCCGCACTCGCACGTTCGTGCCCATGGGTATGTGATGATGGCATGGGTATGTGATGATGGCATGGGTATGTGATGATGGCATGGGTATGTGATGATGGCATGGGTATGTGATGATGGCATGGGTATGTGATGATGGCATGGGTATGTGATGATGGCATGGGTATGTGCTGGCATGGGTATGTGATGGGTATGTGATGGGCATGTGCTGGCATGGGTATGTGCTGGCATGGGTATGTGCTGGCATGGGTATGTGCTGGCATGGGTATGTGCTGGCATGGGTATGTGCTGGCATGGGTATGTGCTGGCATGGGTATGTGCTGGCATGGGTATGCGCTGGCATGGGTATGTGCTGGCATGGGTATGTGCTGGCATGGGTATGTGCTGGCATGGGTATGTGCTGGCATGGGTATGTGCTGGCATGGGGATGTACTGACACTAACGCAATCTCCAGACCACTCCCATGGCAACTCAATGTCACTTCCCCTTTCTCCTCCTTCTCCCCTGGCTCGCCCTGTCACCCACAGGCAGGGAGATGGAGGCATACCGCAAGGACGGCAAGATCAACTCCATCCAATCGCCAGACTACATCCTCGCTCCGCCTCCTCCGCTCCACCCTTTCACCTGCAAGCCCTTCGCCACCACCACTAGCAGCACCACTGGCACCAGCAGCACCACCGGCACCAGCAGCACAGCTGGCGTGGCGGCTGACACTGCAACGCACATGCAGCCAGGTGACTCGTTAAGAACTGCTTCAGGAGACCCGTTTAGAGAAGTCACTAATAGTGTTGAATCCAGAGGAGCAGAAACCACAGCGGCGACAGCAATAGTAATGATAACAGCCCCTGCGAGCAACATGGTTGCTCAGTTACCATCTAACACAGCCCTGTTAGACTTCCTGTCTGGGAGTGGGGCGGGGGCTGATGATGTGGAGGCATGCCAGGAAGCACAGCCCGGCTTGCTTTACCGTGCCAGCATTCCCTGTGGCAGCGACCAGAGCACCACTCTCTTCACCTCTCCCTGCGACCCCTTCTGTAGCACACAGACCAACCGCGGCAGCAGCCACAGCAGCAGCTACGGTGACATGCAGGGTGTGACTCGTGCAGGGGAGTTGTGTGGTGAGAGCAGCCAGTGGGGCCGGGAGGGAGGGAGGAGAGCAGGGCTGTTTGACAAGCTGACTGATGAGAATGTGTATGGCTGTGCTGCTGATGCTGGTGGCGGTGGCAGTGGCGGCGGTGGTGGTGGTGCAGGTGTGAGTGGTGTGAGTGGTGTGAGCAGGAGAGCTAGCAGGAGTGGGAAGAATGAGATGGAGAGGAAAGAGAGTAGGAGTGGGAGTAGGAGTGATGGTAGGAGTGGGAGTGTGCACCGCCATTCGAGTGCGAGCAGCAGGAGCAGCGAGGGAGCGAGTGAAAGAGCATCGCTGTACAGCCACCACCACCACTGTGACTCAGGTCAAGGCGGTGGCAGTGGAGGCAAGGGGAGGAGAACGGAAACGGGCAGTGAGGGAGGGGAGGTGAGGGAGAGGGAAAGTGAGAAGGAGAAGGAGAAGGGGAGGAAGTCGGGGTTGTGGAGTGCGCGGGGTCTGGTGAAGGTGCTAACCCGGGGCTCCATGGATTTGGGGCTGGTGGTGGATGAAGAGGACCTCATGGAGGAGGGCGATGCGAGGCGAGAGCTGGAAGGGGTCGTGCAGCGGTGAGAGGAAGATTGTGAAGGGGCTGGCGAAGGTGCTAAGACGTGGGTCCATGGACGGCTGGTGGTGGATGGTGAGGAGCTCATGGAGGAGGGTGATGCGATGCGAGATCTAGAAGGGGCGGTGCAGCGGTGAGAGGGAGAGCAATGGGAGGATGCGACGGGTGGGGGTGATGGAAGGAGATGATGGGAAGAGGTTTGATAACGGGCCAAGGCGAAGTGATCAGATGAAGCGCATAAGGCCACGATTGATGGCAGGTCAGCAGAGTAAGAGTCCCAAGTCCCACATGCGGGCTGTGCATGCAATGAAGGTGTGAATCTTTGAGACTGCAAAGGTGGATGCTATGCTACGTGTGGCTTGGTTGGTAGTGCCTGTTGTAACCTACTGAATACACCCAAGTGCTGTTTTTAATTGCATGGAGGGCTTCAAAAGCCATGTACAGTAAGAGAGTTTGTAACACAAAATGAAGATCTTACTGCTTGAAATCAGTGATGCCGACCGTCACTCCTGCTGAATGTCACTGCTGTTGACTGGCTGCTCTAGCTGCCTTCAGCTGCAGTGCACGCTGCTTCCACGACGGCACTTGTTGACGGACTGAAGCCTGCTCATAGCGAGGATAACGAAACAGAACTATAGGATGCAGTTGTGACCTGTGCTGCACATACCTTCACAAACATGTGCACGTACCACACGTGCACACACCACACCTGCACACACCACACGTGCACACACCACACGTGCACACACCACACGTGCACACACCACACGTGCACACACCACACGTGCACACACTATTGAACTGCCTGCCACGTTACATGCTTGCAGCTTTGACAGCCATCATCTCACCTGCACGCTGCACTCCCTGCGTTCAACATGCTTCCATACATGCCACTCCAACACCCCTCAAAACACACCTGTTGCTGCCCATTGCACGCCCAAGCCACCCCGTCCTCCATCCCTCCTGCTCCCGCCACCTCACCAGCCGAGGCCCCCCCCTCCACCAATGACAGCGCGCCACCTGGAACACCAGCGCTCTCATCCTGCACTGCTTGTGCATGTGGCTGGAGTGTGCCAGCAGCAGCATTGCGTGTGCTGTCACCAGCAGGGCGTGTGTCGACCACAAGCCCCACAATGACCGGCACACTCTCCTCATCGTCCTCCTCCTCCACTCCCAGTGCTGCCGCCACCGCTGCCGTGAACGCATCAGGGGCAGCGGCACCAGCAGTGCCACTGCTGCTGCCGCCTCTCCTTCCAGACAGGGAGAACTTGGCTTCCACGGCTGCTGCAGACCCACCACCCGAGCTTGCTGCCCTAGCTTGCTTCTCTGACTGCTCCCCACGCCGTCCTTCTTGCTCCTTCTCCTTCCTCTCATCTCTACCTCGACCTCCCTCCCTCCTTTCTCTTGACCAATCTGGTGAGCGATCATGCCTATTCTCTCTTCCTTCGCCACGTCTGCCATCCCTCCTCTCATCCCCTCTCTCACTCCTCTCTGAGTTCCGCCGTTCCTCTCTTCGCTTCTCGCTCCTCCCCCCCTCCTTCTCCCATGCTCTCTCCTCCCGTCCCTGGTCACTTGGGCGGCGTGCTTTGTCAGCATGCTGCCCGTCTTTCCTGCTGGGATCTGACGCCTTGCTGGACTGTCCACGTGGCAGATTCTCACTGGCTGCAGAAGGTGGTGCTCCAAAGATAGCATTTTCGTGTGCTTGCTGCGTGGTAGTGCCACGATTCTATACAGTCACATCACATCACATCGCGCATCCATTGGCAAACATTAAACAGAGGCACATTGCACATTAGCGGAGGAGAAAGCCGTAAAACAAAGAACTGATCACCGGCAAAATATGAAATTTTACAGCATCTGCAGAATGGTCCAAACACATCAACAGAATTCTCAATGCAGACAATTTGGGGGAAGAACAGATAGGTGGCGAGGAGCATGGGTGGATGAGAGGTATAGTCAGGTCAGCAGTGGTCCCCCTCACTCGCGGGAAAGAGCAGCTAGGACGTACTGAGAAGGAGGAGAAGACGAAGGAGGATTTGATTTGATCCAGATGTGCGTGATCTTCTGCCCCTCCCAGTGCATCTGCACGTGATGGTGGGAGGGAGGAGGTGGGATGGTGAAAGGGAAGGAGGAATGATGGTGGAGGGAGGGGGGATGAAGGTGAAAGGCAACCCACAGTTGGTAGAAGATATAGTGCGAGGCTAGTGCAATTAGTGCAAGGGCGAAGGCTTGCATGGCCATGCGACATGCATACACCACAGTAGTAAACACACATGTACGAAACGCTATTGTAAAACACAATTGTAAAAACGCGTAAGCGCGAGCGCGCATTTGCAGGAATTGGAAATACACAATTGAATATAAAACAATAGAAAGTATAAAATTGCACCACACTGCACCTATAGGCACAATGCTTTTGAGATACCTTAAAGGGAGATGTCATGCGTCAGGACACCATGCTAGGGCATCATATCACCGCACCCAATAGCACCACACTGCACCTACTGAGATCACCACCCCACCAGAAACCCTGGCATGACAACATCTAAGTGTGCTCCTCAGTAGTCTCCCTGAACGGCAAATACACCACCACTTACCAGCACTGCCCATCCCAGCCGTCAGATCTGCATCCTCCACGTCAGCATCTGCATCCCTCTCCTCTTCCAGCGGAGCAGTAGAATCAAATCCAAACCGCTCCCACTCGCCGCCCAGCCCCGTCGCTTTGTCTGATGCTGCCTCCTTGGCGGCTGTTGGTGGGGGGATTCAATGGAGAGTGGATAGGAAGACACAAGATGAGAGGAAGGCAATAGAAGGGAGAGCAAGTGACGGAGAAGGAAGAGAAGAAAGCAAAGAAGGAAAGGGAGAAGGGGAAAAGGAGACGGTTTGAAGTTGCAATAACGAAAGCTGCCCTCTCAAATGAGCCCATCACCCACCTGTCCTGCAACATTCCGCACTCAACATGCCACACTCACTACTCAACGCCCCACTCACTACTCTCCTCGCCTGCACCTGCTGTGCCATTCTCTCCTTGACCTGCTGTGCCATTCTCTCCTTGACCTGCTGTGCCATTCTCTCCTTGACCTGCTGTGCCATTCTCTCCTTGACCTGCTGTGCCATTCTCTCCTTGACCTGCTGTGCCATTCTCTCCTTGACCTGCTGTGCCATTCTCTCCTTGACCTGCTGTGCCATTCTCTCCTTGACCTGCTGTGCCATTCTCTCCTTGACCTGCTGTGCCATTCTCTCCTTGACCTGCTGTGCCATTCTCTCCTTGACCTGCTGTGCCATTCTCTCCTTGACCTGCTGTGCCATTCTCTCCTTGACCTGCTGTGCCATTCTCTCCTTGACCTGCTGTGCCATTCTCTCCTTGACCTGCTGTGCCATTCTCTCCTTGACCTGCTGTGCCATTCTCTCCTTGACCTGCTGTGCCATTCTCTCCTTGACCTGCTGTGCCATTCTCTCCTTGACCTGCTGTGCCATTCTCTCCTTGACCTGCTGTGCCATTCTCTCCTTGACCTGCTGTGCCATTCTCTCCTTGACCTGCTGTGCCATTCTCTCCTTGACCTGCTGTGCCATTCTCTCCTTGACCTGCTGTGCCATTCTCTCCTTGACCTGCTGTGCCATTCTCTCCTTGACCTGCTGTGCCATTCTCTCCTTGACCTGCTGTGCCATTCTCTCCTTGACCTGCTGTGCCATTCTCTCCTTGACCTGCTGTGCCATTCTCTCCTTGACCTGCTGTGCCATTCTCTCCTTGACCTGCTGTGCCATTCTCTCCTTGACCTGCTGTGCCATTCTCTCCTTGACCTGCTGTGCCATTCTCTCCTTGACCTGCTGTGCCATTCTCTCCTTGACCTGCTGTGCCATTCTCTCCTTGACCTGCTGTGCCATTCTCTCCTTGACCTGCTGTGCCATTCTCTCCTTGACCTGCTGTGCCATTCTCTCCTTGACCTGCTGTGCCATTCTCTCCTTGACCTGCTGTGCCATTCTCTCCTTGACCTGCTGTGCCATTCTCTCCTTGACCTGCTGTGCCATTCTCTCCTTGACCTGCTGTGCCATTCTCTCCTTGACCTGCTGTGCCATTCTCTCCTTGACCTGCTGTGCCATTCTCTCCTTGACCTGCTGTGCCATTCTCTCCTTGACCTGCTGTGCCATTCTCTCCTTGACCTGCTGTGCCATTCTCTCCTTGACCTGCTGTGCCATTCTCTCCTTGACCTGCTGTGCCATTCTCTCCTTGACCTGCTGTGCCATTCTCTCCTTGACCTGCTGTGCCATTCTCTCCTTGACCTGCTGTGCCATTCTCTCCTTGAGCTGCTGTGCCATTCTCTCCTTGAGCTGCTGTGCCATTCTCTCCTTGACCTGCTGTGCCATTCTCTCCTTGACCTGCTGTGCCATTCTCTCCTTGAGCTGCTGTGCCATTCTCTCCTTGAGCTGCTGTGCCATTCTCCTCTCACTGCCCTCACTTGCCTTCCTCACTTGCCTTCCTCACTTGCCTTCCTCACTTGCCTTCCTCACTTGCCTTCCTCACTTGCCTTCCTCACTTGCCTTCCTCACTTGCCTTCCTCACTTGCCTTCCTCACTTGCCTTCCTCACTTGCCTTCCTCACTTGCCTTCCTCACTTGCCTTCCTCACTTGCCTTCCTCACTTGCCTTCCTCACCTGCCTTCCTCCCACGATGCACTCACCTGCCTTGTGGAACTGTTGTTCCATCCTCTCCTTCAGCTGCTGCGCGCGCAGCTGGTTAGGAGAAGACAAGGAAGGAAGTGCACGAGGTGGAGGGGGGCAGACGGGAAGGGGGAACATAAGAGGGAGGCGGACGGGATGAGATTGGACGGGATGGGATGGGACAGAGAAAGAAGAGATGAGTTGCGTGCTGCATGCTCTGAAAGGAACTCATCTCTTGAATACAACCCTTTTAAGTTGTGTCCGCATATCATATACCACCTGCCAACCCCATCCCCTTCCCCACCCCCTCCCCCTCCCCCTCCTCCACTAATCCCCTCCCCTCCCCTCCTTTCTTCTCCCCCCACCCGTGAAGTCACCTTGGGATCCAGTTTAGCTGTTGCTTCCTTGCTCTTACGCTCCCCCCTCCTGCCCTTCTCTCTCCTCTTCTCGCTGCTGCTGCTCCTGCCGCTCCTCCCACCTCTGCGCTTCCTCTCCCTGCTTCTGCTTCTCCTCTCCCTACTTCCACTGCTACTCCTGCTCCTGCCCCTCCTCCCACCTCTGCCCTTCCTCTCCCTGCTTCTGCTCCTGCTTCTCCTCTCCCTGCTCCTACTCCTGCCCCTCCGCTCCCTGCTCCTGCTTCGCCTACTCCTCCTCCTCTCCCTGCTCCTGCTCCTGCTGCTACTCCTGCTTCTCCTCCTCCTCTCCCTGCTCCTACTTCTGCTTCTGCTGCGCCTACTCCTTCCCCTCCTCTTCTCCCTTCCGCTGCTCTCGCTGCTCCTGCTCCTGCTGCTGCTGCTCCTGCTCCTGCTTCTGCTCCTGCTGCTGCTCCGCCTTCTCCTAACCCTCTCCCTACTCCTGCTTCGCTCCTTCCGCCTCTCCACGTCCTTCCGCTCAGCGCTCCTCCCCCCATCTCCTCCCCTATCCGCCCGCCTGCCCGCGTTTCCCCCATCGCTTCCGCCCTTCCGCAGCTTGTCGCGCACGCTCGCCACGCGCGCCTCCGCCAGACCCGCCTGCAGCTTCCGCTCAAACGATTCTGAAAATGTCTCCGCGATTGGCGCCGCGCCGCCTCCCGGTGACTTCTGGGTTGGCGGTTCCAAATTCTCCCGCTCGAACGACGCGGCGCCGCCAGATGCGGCCACGAACGTCAATCCCGCACCGCCTTTGGACCAAACCGCGCCGCCGCCGCCGCCATCGCCACTGGCGTCAGCGGCGGTGCTGGAGCCGAACCCGAGGCCTTGCTTGAATCGCGCCGCGTTGGACCCGCGCCGCACGAGATCTTGATAGTACGCCGCCGCCTTCTCCTCCTCCATAGCGCCGCGCCGCGCTGCGTCTCTCTGCACCGTTTACCTCAGACGCGACAACCTTGTGCGAAGGTGACGTTTAGAGGACTCGAAAGCCCGACCCCAGCAGCAGCATAGCGCTTGGGAACTTTTCTGCTCCCATATTTCGTTCGAAATGGCTGTGCCTAGTTGGAACATTTGGGTGGGGGGGAGGACGGCTTGGCTGGTTGTGGGGAATCCAGCTTCATGAAATTGGTGCGCGGGTTTTACAAACGAGTTGAACTGCAATTCTGACGTTGGGAAGCAACGAATACTACTGAAGACTACTGCATTGAATACTAACGGGGAATATATAAGCAGGGAAGGGATGGGCGAGGAACACGGGGTAACCGAGGCTCGGAAAGTTGGCGAAAACTGCGGTGGCGACTCGGAAGTGGTTCGGGGCGAAAATGTATGCCGAACCAGCCGACACGAAACTTTCGGAACCACGCAAAAAGTCTACAGTAGAGAAGTGTTACCCGGGATTAAGATCCCATAGAAGTTCCTTACGACTACAGATCATATTTTTTTAACGCGTACAATTCCTCGTGTCTGTTCGTGGAGGTTGAGAAATGAAACCCCTCCGTGTGCATCGGTTCTCCCAGTCCGCTCTCACATGAACTTGCCCCACAGATTCCGTCAGCTTGGGGGAATCTGGATCGTCTGATGAAGCTGCTGCCCACCGCTCTTTTCCCCCGTGACGCGCCATAATTCCGGTCTTGACGCCAGTAGACGCCCCGCGACAATCAGCACGCTCGCATCGCCGCCATTCGACCATTCCTCCCCCTCGACGTGACGCCCGCAGCCCCCCGCTCCCACTCCCGTTCACCACCCGCCCGCCTGCCCACTCCGCCCTCTCGCCGTCTCCGCCCTTCCCTGGTCCGCGCGCCATGTCCGCGGCCGGCGCTGAGGAGCCTCCGCCATGCGTGTTGCTGCGCAACTGCACCATCGTTCAGGCGGGCGGCGCGGGGGTCGTTGCTGACGTGGACGTGCGCGCGGCGCAGCATGTGTTGGTTCAGGGCAAGCGAATCGCGTTCGTCGGCGACGCGCTGCCGTCCGACCTGCTCGCGCCGCTGACGGCGTCGCGGCCACCAGTGGTGAGCCTCCCTTCCCCCTGTCGCATCCCCCTCCCTGTCGCGTCCCCCTCCCTGTCGCGTTATCTGCTCCCCGGCCTGTGCGGCGCGCACGTGCTCGTCACGGCGGCAGCTTCCGCGGTTCCATCCCCTCCTTCCATGCAACCCCCCCTGCCTGCCAGGACATGCACCTAGCAGGCCGTTATCTCCTCCTCGCCCTGTGCCACGCACACTTGCACGTCGCAGCAGCAGCGTTCCACTCCTTTCCCCCTTCCCCCATCCCCCCCCCCCCACTCCCCCTTGCCGGCCGCCAGGAGATCGACCTGGCGGGGCGCTACCTGCTCCCCGGGCTGTGCGACGCGCACGTGCACGTGACGGCGGCGGCGTGCGCGGATCTTCACTTGCTGGCGGCGCTGCCGGTGTCGCTGGTGGCGTGCCGTGCTGCTAAGGGGCTGCACGCCATGCTCATGCGCGGCTTCACCACCGTGCGCGATGCTGGGGGGTGCGACCAGGGGCTGGCTCAGGTGAAAACAACAGAGACTCGGTGCATCCGCACTCCCTCTCTCCTACACTGCCTTCCTCGCCTCTACTTCTCTCTCCATTTCTCCTCTCGCCTCGTGTCTCTCCTCCCTCCCCTTCCTCCCCCAACCCTGCCTTGCATCCATGGCTCGTTTCATCTATGCTCCCTTTCTTTCTCTTCCCTCCGTTCCCCCCACACCAGGCAGTGGAAGAAGGCACGGTGGTTGGTCCGCGCATCCTCATATCAGGCCACGCCCTCTCCCAGACGGGCGGTCATGGGGACATGCGCAAGCCCTCCCATGATACCCTTCCTGTCGCCGCCCCCTCCTCATTCTCCCTCTGCGCCTGCTCCTCTGCTGCCTCCGCTGTTGGAGGCCTGGGCATCGGCCGGGTTTGCGACGGCGAGCCGGAGGTTCGGCGGGCGGTTCGGGAGGAGATTCGGCGGGGGGCGCGGCAGATCAAGGTGATGGCGTCGGGCGGTGTATCGTCACCGTCGGATCGCGTGGAGAGCGTTCAGTTCTCGGAGGGGGAGATGCGGGCAGCGGTGGAGGAGGCGGAGGCGCAGGGCACGTATGTGATGGCGCACGCTTACATGGCACGCGCCATCAAAAGGGCGGTGGCGTGTGGTGTTCGGAGCATTGAGCATGGCAATGTGAGCGTGGATACAGTCTGTGCAAATATCACGTTGTATGCTCTGCACATCCCTGCTGCACATCGCTGCTGTGCACCCACCCGCACACCTGTGAACCGCATGCGATATCACCCTCTCATGCGATATCTCTCACCCCCCGCATGCGCTCTCATGCGATATCTCTCACCCCCCGCATGCCTCTGCCTGCACGGCAGATGCTGGACGAGGAAGCAGCCGACCTCATGCTGCAGCGAGGAAGCTTCCTGGTGCCCACGCTGGTGACGTACGAGCGGATCAAGCAGGCGGGGCAGCAGAGCGGCATGGATGGCGGCATCGTTGCCAAGGTACGCTCTGACCGTGGAGCTCACTCGATACTCACCACGGTCAATGCAAGTTCTTGCATCACTTCTAATATCTGCATTGCATTCTATCGCATAGAAGCGCTTTCGAGCCTTCTTGAAGGAGGCTTGACTGCACGGGCTGCATGAGGCGCGTTCACTGCAGGTCAGCAGGTGACTGAATGCGCTGGTTGCTTGTGGCCCACTGTCTCCTGCACCTCTCCTCCACCCGTTGCCTTCTTTCCCATAACTTGTCGTTCTGTTTTCCCTGTCGGAGGCAGGTGCAGGACCTGCTAGAGAGGGGTCTTGAAGCCGTGGCTCTGGCAGAACGGAAGGGTGTGCCCATGGTCTTTGGCTCGGACCTGCTGGGTCCCATGCAGTCACACCAGCTGCAGGAAATTGCCATCCGCAGCAAGGTGCAATCGCCAGCGTCGATCCTTCGGTCTGAAACAACCTCAGCTGCACGGCTTTTTGGAATGGAAAGAGAAATTGGGGTTGTGGCGGTTGGTGCGCTTGCGGATTTGATTGTGTTGGATGGGAATCCATTAGAAGACATCAGCATATTGACTGATTCTAGTAACCTTAAATTGATCATGAAGGAAGGGGCCGTTTTGAAAAGGGATATATATTAACGGAAGACTTTCAGTTTCTGCACTTATTTTCACGTACAGTATTCTGTGTGAAATTCTATCAGCTTATATGCCTTAGCGTTTTCGTAATAATCAGTCTGTTTTTTCTACTCAATACAAAGGCTTGCCGAAATTCCGCGTCGTCAGTTACCAGTTTCGGTGTCAGCGTCCTCCTGCCGGCGTCCATCGTGAGCCCCACCCAGAAGTCAGTCGCTGTGTTGAGGCGACGTGCCTGTCCACGTCATCCCCTTGTGCATCGTGGTCACGTTGTTCAATGTTTCACTCGTGGCGCGCAATCTTGAGGAACACCTGGACGCGGCTCGATAACGGGCACGACCATTGGTCGTGGAGCCCTTACCCCCAACGCGACACCCCCCTGACCCACCATGTCCCCCTCTGGTTTTCTTGGAGTTGGTTTGGAAATCGACATCCCCTATGCCGTCCTTTTGGGGACAGGTGAGACAAGCACATCGTGCAACAGACAGAGGCCCAGCAGATAGGGCGTCCAGCCTCCAGTAGCACAAATTCCGCCACGTTCCGTCCGCCACGTCCTCGCGTATATTCTTCGTATTGCGCATTTCAGGCAGTAAAGACTGCAATATCAGCACCCACGAGGAAAGCGATAAGCAGTCGATGAACTGCCTCACTTTGTTTTAACCTAGGAGCTTCTGCTACTCTGACTGACCTGCAGTTGTTGGTGAGCCTCGGATGGAATACCGCCATAACGAAAATTTACTCAAACTCTCGTAGCGCGACTAACTGCTTCTCACGGACTGATATTCAACAAAGGATGTCAACAGAAAACTGTGCGACCATGAGGTAGCTTGGTCTCCGTTGTTCGACAACAAAGGCCCAGGCTTGTCGTTCTTCCAGTCTAGCGAGGTCCCAGTCGCGTATGCTACTAGTTGCAATGCCTGCGCTAGTCGGGCACAGCGCGTGCACGGCTAGTCGAAACGGGAACCTTGTCGCAGCTTCAGTTGCCCTTCGCAGACCGTCGCGGAACGATTGTAGAGCGTCGCACGTCACGCTTCTGCCAAGCCACCTCCTTTGCCTTGTGCTGCTGCTAATAAGCGGCACGACGGCGCGCGCAACACTAACGACCGCACTCGCCGTCAGCAACGAGCCTGGCACGCAACAAGAGCCATTAAACTCACGGACACACTCGGCCCGAAGCACAGGCGCTGGCCCAGAACGGGAACGCGCAGCGGGAAAACCCCTGGAGCCGGATGATTCGATACAAGTCAATCCCGACTCGGTAGTAGCCGCAATCTATCCATCCCCCCCACAGGCCAGCAACGAGGATGATCACCAGCAGAGCGCAACCGCAAGCAATCGCCGGAAATCGTTGGAACGTTCGCGCTACCACCAGCACCGACACACGCCTTCCGTTTCGTTCGCTTCGCTATCCACGAAGCGCTCTGTCAACCAAGCTGCCCTTTACATAGTATATCTTAACTCCGCCCCCTCGGTACTCACGTATCGCGGTGGGATAGCTGGTTTGAGAGCTACTGCAACCAATCTAGAGACCGACGATGGCGATGACGGTGACGGCGACGGCGATGGTGGCGGTGACTGGGAGGAATGGGGTGGGGCAGAGGACGGGAGCGGTCGCGGGTCGGGGGAAAACGGCGGAAGCAGCGGGCCGGGAATAGCGGAAATCAAGTCAGTCGGGGGAGACGGGTGGGGGTTGGCGAAGCGGGCGTTTCAGCGAGGAGTTGCGAAAGTAAAATCAGCGGCGGCGGCGGCGGCTGCTGCGGCGATAAACCTGGACGGCCCTCCGCGGCGCCGCCCCGACGTGCACTCCGCAGCGGTCCAGGAATTCTCGCGGTTCCTCAAAGACTCGCACCGGAGATTAATCTCCTCTACCGGGCTCCCCGCGTCGCGGATCGTGCACAGCTACCGCTACCTCATGAACGCGTTCTCGGCGCGATTGACGGCGGCGGAAGCGGAGAGTCTGAAGAAGCAGGCGTGGGTGGATCGGGTGGAGCGCAGCCAGATGGTGCGCGCGGCGACGACGCACTCGCCCGACTTCCTCAACCTGCCCAGCAAAGTCTGGCCGCAGCTGGGCGGGGAGAGCCGCGCGGGGGAAAATGTGATTATAGGCCTGATTGACTCGGGTATTTGGCCGGAGCACCCGGCATTTTCGGACAAGGTGAACTTTCCTTCCCCGCACACGCGCTTTGTCCGTTTCCGCTCAACCTCGCTCCGCTCCTTGGTCTCCGTTACTTCTTTCGCCGACCTTAACTCTCCCAGTCATCCCAATTGCCCCAATTGCTTGCGCTTACCTGTCCGCGCGCAGACCAGCACCCCGTACGGCCCGCCGCCCAGCCGGTGGCGCGGGGGGTGCAACACGACGGCCGACTTCCCGCGGTGCTCGCAGAAGATCATCGGCGCGCAGTGGTTCGTGGCGGGGCTCAAGGCGGAGGGCGGGCGCATCGACACGAGCATCGAGTTCCTGTCGCCCCGCGACGCCAACAGCCACGGCAGCTGGTGTGCTGGGTGAGTCAAAAGTCAACGCACGTCAACCGCAAGTCAATTTCAGGTCATCGCTGTCTTCCAAAGTCAATATGAGTCCTATGAGTTGCACATAGTGCCGTGATACGCGTGTTTCCGTTCGACCCTCCGCCAACCCTTCTCGGCCTCCCCACTCTTCCCCCCAGAGCGGCAGCGGGCAACGCCGTGCGCGTCAAGTCGGGCGCGCAGCCCTTGGGCACGGCGCGCGGCATGGCGCCGCGCGCGCGCTTGGCAATATACAAGGCGCTGTGGTTCGACGGGCAGGTGGCGATGGGCAGCGAGGCTGACGTGTACAAGGCCGTGGATCGCGCCGTGGCGGACGGCGTTGATCTGCTCTCCATGTCCGTCGCCTTCAGCGACGAAAACTACTTCAAACACCTCCCGCTCATGCGCGCCGCGCAGGTAAAGTCCCGCTAAAGCACCTTCCTGATCACATGCGCGTCGCGCAGGTATTCAACGCGAGAAGCGCCCTCATGGCTGAGCACTTGTAACCCCCCTAGCCTCCTCTATTTTCCTAGCCTCCTCTATTTTCCTAGCCTCCTCTATTTTCCTAGCCTCCTCTATTTTCCTAGCCTCCTCTATTTTCCTAGCCTCCTCTATTTTCCTAGCCTCCTCTATTTTCCTAGCCTCCTCTATTTTCCTAGCCTCCTCTATTTTCCTAGCCTCCTCTATTTTCCTAGCCTCCTCTATTTTCCTAGCCTCCTCTATTTTCCTAGCCTCCTCTATTTTCCTAGCCTCCTCTATTTTCCTAGCCTCCTCTATTTTCCTAGCCTCCTCTATTTTCCTAGCCTCCTCTATTTTCCTAGCCTCCTCTATTTTCCTAGCCTCCTCTATTTTCCTAGCCTCCTCTATTTTCCTAGCCTCCTCTATTTTCCTAGCCTCCTCTATTTTCCTAGCCTCCTCTATTTTCCTAGCCTCCTCTATTTTCCTAGCCTCCTCTATTTTCCTAGCCTCCTCTATTTTCCTAGCCTCCTCTATTTTCCTAGCCTCCTCTATTTTCCTAGCCTCCTCTATTTTCCTAGCCTCCTCTATTTTCCTAGCCTCCTCTATTTTCCTAGCCTCCTCTATTTTCCTAGCCTCCTCTATTTTCCTAGCCTCCTCTATTTTCCTAGCCTCCTCTATTTTCCTAGCCTCCTCTATTTTCCTAGCCTCCTCTATTTTCCTAGCCTCCTCTATTTTCCTAGCCTCCTCTATTTTCCTAGCCTCCTCTATTTTCCTAGCCTCCTCTATTTTCCTAGCCTCCTCTATTTTCCTAGCCTCCTCTATTTTCCTAGCCTCCTCTATTTTCCTAGCCTCCTCTATTTTCCTAGCCTCCTCTATTTTCCTAGCCTCCTCTATTTTCCTAGCCTCCTCTATTTTCCTAGCCTCCTCTATTTTCCTAGCCTCCTCTATTTTCCTAGCCTCCTCTATTTTCCTAGCCTCCTCTATTTTCCTAGCCTCCTCTATTTTCCTAGCCTCCTCTATTTTCCTAGCCTCCTCTATTTTCCTAGCCTCCTCTATTTTCCTAGCCTCCTCTATTTTCCTAGCCTCCTCTATTTTCCTAGCCTCCTCTATTTTCCTAGCCTCCTCTATTTTCCTAGCCTCCTCTATTTTCCTAGCCTCCTCTATTTTCCTAGCCTCCTCTATTTTCCTAGCCTCCTCTATTTTCCTAGCCTCCTCTATTTTCCTAGCCTCCTCTATTTTCCTAGCCTCCTCTATTTTCCTAGCCTCCTCTATTTTCCTAGCCTCCTCTATTTTCCTAGCCTCCTCTATTTTCCTAGCCTCCTCTATTTTCCTAGCCTCCTCTATTTTCCTAGCCTCCTCTATTTTCCTAGCCTCCTCTATTTTCCTAGCCTCCTCTATTTTCCCAAAAGCTCCCTTTTACATGTTGCCCTGTAACCCCCCTAAGCTTCCCCTCCCTGGAATGCATTATGCCAATTCCAGCGCTCGACAATCCCAAGAGCCCGCCACAGTGGACGGTCTCTCCCGCACTCCCCTCCCCTCACTCCCCTGCTCCACCGCCCTCTCCCTCCCCCGCATTCCCTCTGCCTCACCCTCACTGTTCTGACGGCAGGCGGGCGTGCTACCAGTGCTGGTGGCCGGCAATCTCAAGGCCCCGCCCGACACCGACGACGGACAGTACCGCACCATCCGCAACGCGTCGCCCTACTACCTCACCGTCGCCGCCAGGTACGCTGCTTTTCCCGCTGTGTGGGTGTGGTGTGGGTGTAGTGTGGGTGTGGTGCAGTGTGGTGGGGTGTGGTTACGGCAGTTGTAAGGTCCTTGGCCTCGCCTGCCGTCCCCTCCTTCGCCTTGCTGTGCGTGTGATGTGGTGTGGAGTGCTTAGGTGAGGTGTGGTGCGGTCACTGCAGTTGTGAAGTCCCTCGCCGTCCCCTCTTCCGTTCTTCTTACCCCAACTTCCATTCCCCACTCGCCTAACCACCTCCCTCCCACCCTCTCCTCCCTCTCCCGCACCTTCCCCTCCCGCTCCCACCTCCCCCACGCGCACCTCTTCCCTGCGTGCAGCACGACGGACAGAGCGTGGCCGCCACAAGCCACGCTGAGGCTGCAGGACGGCGCAGCCACCACCGCCGCCGCCAGGACCGCGGGTGGGCGGAGAGCCGCCGCCGCGGGTGGCGATGACGGCGAGGGAGTGAGCGCGGAGGGGGTGACGGTGGTGGGGGTGACGTACCACGCGGGCACGGCGCACACCGTGAACCTCTCGCTCGTTGACGGCGCTGCTGCCGCCAACAGCAACGTCACGTCCCTCATGCAGGTGGGTGGCTGGGGTGATTGGAATCGAAAAGAAAGAGAGAGGATGATCTCTCGAGGCAGGTGCGCGTGACGCCTCTCGCATGCAGGTGGGTGGCTGGGGTGACGGGAGTCACATGTGTTGATCGTGACGCCTCTGCAACATCGACACGTATGACACCCCTTGGCCTAACTCGCACCCTCCTCGCTCCCCCTACCTATTTCCCAATTCCCTCTTCCTCCCCAGGCGCGCATGTGTCTGCCCGGCACACTCTCCCCCGCGCGCGTGGCGGGGCGCATGGTGCTCTGCGAGGCGGGGGGGACGACGCCAGAGGCCAAGGCGGGGGAGGTGCGGAGGGCGGGGGGGCGCGCGATAGTGATCGCGTCCGCGTCCGCCACGGCGGGCAGCGTGGGGGAGGGGTACTCGCTCGACTTGCCGTCGCTGGTGGTCAACCGCACCATGTCGCAGGCGCTGCGCAGCTTCCTCAACAGCTCCAGCAGGTGGGTGTGAGGGGCGGGTGCCGCTGGTTGGGTGCGCTATGCTCGTGTTTCCTTCCCTCATTCTCACCTTCAACCACTCTCACCACCACTCACTCTCTTCCTTTCCCCACTCGTCACTTTCCTCGCTCTCCCTGCAATTTAGCCAGGTCACGCGAGCCATTTCTCACCTCCTTGCCTGCCTTCGCATGATTCCCTCCTTCCCCTATCCCCTGTCCCCACCCCTCCCCTGCATCCGTCCCCCCCACCAGTCCCCGCGCCACGCTCTCCTCGCTCTCACTGCAGGCCAACCAGGTGGCGCCAGTCATGGCGCCCTTCTCCTCCACGGGCCCCGTAGTCGACCCCAACCTCCCCCCCGGCCACTCCCCCGACGGCTTCACCAACGACATCTTAAAGCCCGACATCACCGGCCCGGGAGTCAACCTGCTCGGCCCCATGGCGTCGGGGAAACACGGGGAAGCCGCGTACCAGCTGCTGTCAGGAACGTCCATGGCGGTGCCTCATCTGGTGGGCATCGCGGCGCTCATCATGCAGAAGTACCCCAGCTGGAGCCCGGCAGCGGTGAAGTCGGCGATTATGACGACGGGCACGGTGTTCAACAATCGCAACGAGCCCATTCGCACGTCCGCGGGGCACCGCGCGACGCCGTGGAATTTCGGGTCGGGGCACGTGGTGGCGGCGAGGGCCATGGACCCCGGGCTGGTGTACAACGTGGGCGCCAAGGGCTACATGGCGTTCCTCTTTGGGATCAACTTCAGCTCGGCGAGTAAATACTTCCAGCACGAGCAGCAGCAGCCGCAGAAGGGAGGCGGGCGGACTGTGATCAAGGCGTATGATCTAAATTTACCGAACATCTGCGTGTCTAACCTGGTGAGGCAAGTCACGGTGATTCGGCGCGTGACGAACGTGGCTCGGCAAGCGTCGCGATACCGAGCGCGGGTGGTGCCACCTAAGAATGTCCGAGTGGTGGTGTCGCCGGGAGCGTTTACGATTGCGCCGGGCGCATCGCAGGTGTTTTCAGTGACGTTCACGGTGGTGCAGGCGACAAGGGCGTTCTCGTTCGGCAGCCTCACGTGGGTGGATGGCACGCACCGAGTGAGGTCTGTGCTGGCCGTGCAGCCCGTTCAGGCGTGAGTGGATGGGAACATTCGTGAGGAGGGGGATTCAGGCAGTGCGGCTGATGCGACAGCACGCACCGTGGTGAGGCCTGTGCTGGCCGCGGCTATTCAGACGCGTCTGAGTGGACACCTGTGTGGGGCTTTGGCCAGTGCGGCTGATCTGGCATGGCGGGTGCGAATTTGGTGTACCCCTTCAGGCGTGACTCGGGGAATTGGAGAGAATTGAGGAACCAATGAACTTCCCTCTGTCACCAAGCAGTTTTGGCAACCCTGGTTCCAGTTTTGGCTGCAGCTCCCAGCGGTGGGATGAGATACGTGCTTCTTGAAGCGGAGGCTGTCTGTCGACACTTCTGACGGAATGCAGCGCACTTGGGGAGGCATTCTGTGACGGAACGTGCAGGCAAAGCAGATTCGCGAATGCCGAAGGGCTTGACGGCGACGACCCTCGGGTTACAAGCCGACCTTTCGGGCTGAATGAATGGCGTTACCGCACGCGCGAAAGTCTGCGTGCGGAAGGAAATGTGCTTCTTGAGCTACGTTGCGCACTGACTGGAAGGGACAAAGCGACATTGATGGAAATCGCGCCACGGCACAAATTCATGGTCTCCACATTTAACTATTTTCGATTCAGCTTAGGAAGCTGTCTAGAGCGAGTTGCATTATTGTTCACCGCTACAGCACGTAGCTAGTAGTGGTTTGGTAATAATGACTGTATGCTAACCATTTCCGATCAAATGAGCAGAATATATTTTACCTTTTTGTAAGGAAAAATCATTTTACTTACTCCGCGTCCCTTCTCGGTGCGTACACCTCTGTTCCCGCCACTAGTACTCAAACAGTACACCGTTATCACTCACGACACTCGCCCCGGCTGTAAGGAATTAGAAATTCCTTACTGTACTCGCATTTTAGCGAGTACAATCCGAACACCACGCGTCAGCCCGGTTCGGCCTACATTTCCGCCCCGAACCACTTCCGAGTCGCCACCGCTCCAATCGCAACACTTTCCGAGCCATCCTAGCCCGAACCCTTCGCCTGGCTAGGATTCCCTTTATAAATTCCCGTCACTTCATTGTATCATGATGCTGTAGTTCAGAATTCTCGTTATTCGTTTTACTGCGCACTCTGCAAGTTCATTCATAACACCTGGTATCAGAGCTACTTTCCTAGCCTACCCCGCTTTTTAGAATGTATCACCCCACGGGGGGGGGGACGAGGAAGGATGTCCAGGGGTCCAGGAGTTGCGTAGGCCGGCCAGGAGAACGAGTTAGTTGCTCCTCGCGGCCATAGTTTTACAGGGCACTCCTTCGGCACCGCCAGATCCTTGCCTCGAACGGTCGCGATCGACCGTGGCCTCCCTCCCCCCGGGCAACGGACAGCTAGAGCTGTCTCGACATTGAACGTGAGTTTTTTTTTTTTTTTTCCGCTGCGTCGCGACGATTTCGGAGTGATTTTCGTGTGGCAGCTGGCGTCAGCGGATCTGCGTCGGCACCTGCACGAAATTTTCGGAGTCGTCGTCCTGTGCGGCAGTTGGCGTGGTTGTTCGTCAACGTGCACGCGAGATTATCGGAAGAATCTACTGTGGAGATGAAGAAAAAACAAGGGGCAACTGTACGGACTCGCCAGGCGCTAAAGTAATTGCGTCTGAAAAAGCAGGTGACGAGGAGAGACGCCACGACGACTGCCCGACTATTGCGGGAGTCAACTACCGTCCCGCCCGACAGTCTAAGTGCAGCGGCTTTTACTGCATGGCGGGCGCGTCACCGACGATTTCGGCAGGAGTGCATGTGGACAGACGGGGCTTCATACCCACCAACACTTACGGGCAGCAATGGAAAACGCGGTGGCTAAATCGCACTTTAGAAGAAGTGGGGCGCAGGCGGCGAGGGCAATTCAAGTGTACACCTCGGAAAGACTTCGCACGACACTGCGCACCTGGACTTCAAGCTTTTGCGAGAGCGGATTCCCCGTACGGAAGCTGTTTTCGAGGACAGTCTCAGCGGCCCACGATTAAACGGTGTCCACGTACCATTCCGCCATTTTCGGAGGAGTGTGGTACTACAGGATTCCGGGTCATCCGGAAAGAAACTACCCGACGGCTAAGTGGGGGTTGGAGAACGATGAAGGGAGCAGGTTAAAAGCCGGTGGAAACGACCTGCCGCCCTCCGTCGCCCGAACCTCACCATCCCCACCAAGTCTTGGTTCCGGCTCATGCAGCCGACCTGACCTGGCCGAATAACGGGGGTGAACACGTGCCTACCCTGTGCTGGTTAAAGGCACCTGGTTTGGTGCTCGTTCGACAGCTGTACGAAAATACCAAAAAAAGGGAGTTCGCGGCACTGTTTTACTCCGACAAAAATGGGCTAGGTGAACAGCACGAGACAAAGTCGGGGAGCTGCGACGAAAACAGCGGTGCAGTCTACGGTTTCTTCCTGACCCGAGCGTCTACTCAGATTGACGGCGCAGCGGCGAAGTTGGGACCCGGTAGCAGTGGAGCTAGGTGGCGTGATAGGCGCGCGGTGGGCTGCAAAGCGGTTGGGTGCGAGCTTTTTAAATAAAACTGCCCCGACTCCGATAGCATTTGCGCTTTCACCATAGCCGGAATATCGCGCAGGAATTTCAACATTACACTTCAGCCGACCGACGCAGACGCAGGGTGAACGTCGATTTCGCGATATTGTCGGGGAGTCGAAAACACTCAAAAAAAGGAGAGCTTTACCCCCTATACTTCAACCGGCAGACGCGGACAATGGGTGAACGGTGGTGCGCGATATTGTCGAGGAGTGGAAAACACAAAAAAATGGAAGCAGTCGAAGTTTCAAGACTTACCTGCCGACGACGAGCGATGGGTGGCACATCTGCAAAGCGCCGGTGGGAGAAACGTGCTAATTTGTTAAGCAGCATCGGCAGGGGCAGTTCAACAAAGGGATTGACGGCGTCCCCGGTTCCCGATTATACCCGCATGCTGGGTTCGGGTGAACTGACGGAAACTACTGGTGACCGAGTGGGCGGCTACATTACGACCAAAGATTTCGGAGGAGAACTACACCTGCAGCCACGAATTTACGGAGTTTAACGGAAGAACTTACCGGTTTATGGCGGGAAGCGCCGACAATTTCGGAGGAGTTTTCGGAGTTTTGGTTAAACGCTCGCGAACTTTACGTGGGACAACACCGCGGGACCTACTCGGAGTTTCAAGGGGTACGAACGACTTACGACGAACTGAAGAAGGCGGCAGCAACAGTGAAGGGGGGGGAGAGACAGCTGTAATTTTTTCATCTCTGCCCAGGAGTCATCGACGCATTACGACAAAGCGTTCGGCGAGTCTGGACAAACCCGTCGTGGGTGATGACGTCATTTGATACGGACACCGCATTCGGCAAATTCGACCGGAGGGATTTTCGATACAGTTACTACTTTCGACCAATCGCCTTCACCACCGAATTTTCGTACCATCCCCGATTTTACTGCCAGAGGACTTCGGGATACGGCCGCTCCAATTCTACTAACGACAACCCGCTCAACTCGACCCGACAGCGACAAACGATCTGATTTTACCACGTCAGGTGCTGCCAGCTGCAGCGACGGAAAGTACTACCGAAATTCTGGTGGTGTAACGACAACCTCTGACAGTTCGAGCAACGACGATTTTTCATCGCGGTTTCTGGTCTACTTCTACTGGTTTACCCTTGGAGAATTTTGGGGCACTTAGTACCTGGTTTCGTCACCGTTTTCCCATACCAACGCCCTTTCGCCTAGGCCTCCGTGCTTTTACGTGCGACTTACCGTATGGTTTTGTTTGTTTTCTCACCTCGGCACAGCTGTGAAAGTTTTGTGCCAGTTTTCTTGGGAGGGGGGAGAAAGTGCGCTGCACTGTTTTCCTTCGGCGTTTTCTTCGGCACGATTTCTGACCTTGTCAGAATGCGTCAGCACGACGTACGACTGCGATTGCCTTCAGCGAAATCGATGGTTCCTGTACATCGCGACTGATCACCGCGTCAGCAGGATCCCCCCAACTTCGCGTCATCGTCGACCGTCCGATCGATTTCAAACTGCATCAACGACTTCAATTCCAATTTTCAATTCGAATTGGTCAAGACTGTCTGCAGCCGTCAGATCTACACCTGCTCGATCAACGGCTCACATTCCAACCTTCTCTTCAATTTCGCCCAAGACAGTTCAACCGTCAGATTCAGCTGAAGAAAGATCAACGGCATCCTCGCTAGTGTGGGGTTCTTCTAAGTTCAAGACTGCCTTCTTTGGAAGGTGGGAGAGTGTAAGGAATTAGAATTCCTTACTGTACTCGCATTTTAGCGAGTACAATCCGAACACCACGCGTCAGCCCGGTTCGGCCTACATTTCCGCCCCGAACCACTTCCGAGTCGCCACCGCTCCAATCGCAACACTTTCCGAGCCATCCTAGCCCGAACCCTTCGCCTAGCTAGGATTCCCTTTATAAATTCCCGTCACTTTATTGTATCATGATGCTGTAGTTCAGAATTCTCGTTATTCGTTTTACTGCGCACTCTGCAAGTTCATTCATAACACCGGCACTGTTCCCGCCACTGTTCACGCCGCGACCCAACCTCACGGCTCGGTTGGTAACCCGCGCTCCGGACCTCCGCCTCGACATTTCCCAACCTCGGCGCTAGGCCCGTCGCGCACCCCAATTTCCGCACATCACCGTTACCACTGTAGTTTCGCTATATATTCTTCGCTCATGCCTTCGCTCATTGTACTCTTGCTTCGATAGTGCAATTCACTCTCGCTCACTCAATTGCACTCGTAACACTTTTTCACATCTGTAATGGAAACTTTCAGATTCTTTATTGCGCCCCTGCATATCGCGTAGAACATACCCTTCGCTCGTTTTCTATTCACTGTGCTCGTCACTTTCGCACATACCGTTCGCTCCTGGCAACAAGCCCCGGGTTTTTTGTATAAATATTGATACAATATGAATAATAAATAAGACCCCTGGACATGTTAAAAATCCGTATGAACAATGAAATGCAC